TACATCTGGGTGGGAATGATAAAGAGTTGAGCTGACAGACCTTAATTCAGCCAGTCTTTTCTTCGCTGTCCGTTTCTAGGTTTTCTTCAATCCATCAGTTTTTAGAAAGAAACACATCAAAGTAAGGGCACCGCAAAGCGGAGCATTCCTTCCCAAAAACCATGCTCAGTAAATCAAGGCAGCATTTGACATCGATCGCGATACAAATTACATCAATTCCACACAGAAAAAAATAACATACACATAAAGTAATAACACACATAATCGCATCACTATATCCCATCATACGTTGCGAGGGGGTAATACTGTTGTCTATTTCTAAAATATAAGTCTAATTCCTTTTGTTTCATGAAAATTTTTTCAAAGTGCGTTAAATGTTGACATGGTGTAAAATGATGATGTACAGTCTTAACGCACTTTGAAAAATTTTTTCAAAGTGCGTTGATTTGGTCCCAAATTCAACGCACTTTGAAAAAATTTTTCAAAGTGCGTTAACCTGGTCCCAAAAATTAACGCACTTTGAAAAAATTTTTCAAAGTGCGTAATTTTTCAAAGTGCGTTGTAACATACCAAGCTAGAAAAAATTGATGCCACACTTTGTGGACACATTAAACTATTATATATTAAGATATAAATATGAAACGGTTGGATACATGTGTGTTGCGGTTTTTTAATTGTAGTTCTGGTGTTGCTGATGGTTTAAGTAAGAAAGATGAGTTATTTAATGAACTGTTGTTGGAGTTCCATGAGAAGGAATTGAGTTTTCCAAAGAGCATTGCTAAAAGTGATGGGCAGTATTTCATACAGGTATATTAATATGAGAGTCGCCATTTAATAATATTAAAACTTAAAATAGCATAGTTGCAAAAGTTTTTGCATTTCAATTTTCTTTTATATTTAAAGTGTGTGCAAGCCAATTAGACCAATGGTGAGTTGAACCTCGGGCACATTTTATGTTTTATACTGTGTCTGAATATACTTATTTAAATGGCTGTGGTACTGAATGTGGAACACATAATATTAAATGCAAAGCTTTACATAGTGCTTGTATCATACCTATTCACTATAGTATGTTGCTTTATGACTCTGTGTCTCACTCACAAATTCTTAGTACACTATAGTATTCAAAATAGTTTAGAATGCACTTTGCAATATATATTTCATATAAAACTGTATGCACTTTTAATGTATTCTGTATTTATCTGTATTTGTGTGTGTGCATGTTTATAAATATATAATTTAATATTTATACATGTTACATGTATATATGGCTTAATATATATTTTATATGAAAGCTTTAAACCTTTTAAATATTAAAAACAATTGTTTTTAAATTTCATTTGTCCTTAATTCTTAATCATTTTTTCTAAATACAAATACCCCTCAAAATTTTTACAGTGCTATATATTTCATATTAAGTAATGTATTACATTTTCAGGTGCTGTGTAATGCTTTGTGGTACATCACAAATAATCATGACACCATCAATGAGGAGAGTAGGAGAAAGAATGTTCTACCCATACCAAAGTGTTTCGAAAAGTACCAAAGCTACAACGACAACAAACGAAAAAAGATCAAGTCCGTAAGATTATCAGCTTCGTCTTTAGAAAGCCACAGCCAGGCCCTATACAGTATACTTCTGAAGCCAGTTGTTAAAAGCAGTCCATCGTGGTGTGAAATGCATGATGACATTAAAGCTTTAGCAGATTGTTTGTTTTTTATAAAACTTTTTTGGACAGTAAAGCTGAGGAAATAAATAAAAATCACAATTTACCACACCCTGTAAGAACAGTTGGGGAATTTACTTCTGTAGAGCACAGAAGAAGTTGTAAACCTTGTGATCTTAGCAAGAAGTACAAATTGTTGGATGATGCATTGAGAGCAGGACAGGGAGAATTCCATGTTTTCTTTGAAGAAGATAAACACCTGGAACATCCATTTCAAAATAACATCCAAAGGTACAGATATTTCTCTGAGCTGCAGTTAACAGTACCAATAGATATGTATAAGTTTTGTCCCGGCGGTTCTATTGTGTCTACTGTGTGCATAGTTTTAGCTAGAGAAAACCGGTCAGAGCAGGAAATTCTTGTCAATGGGGCACGATTTGCACTGAAGAACAAACATCTTTTCAAAGAATATCATACCAGATCCATGAGAAAAGCCTTCAAGGAGAAGGTAAATAATATTACGCATTTATCTCCTGCAGTTCTAGATTTGATATATAAGGAACTTACCCTTGATGCCACTACTGCAGCACACCCGGATACTCAAGAGAGATTACGGTTGATATCCCTTGGGGAAACAGAACTTATTGCAGATCTTCGTCATTGTAATCCAGGGAAACCATCTGACAAGTTTGACGAGTTCTTTCAACATTTGTCATCAGTAGTTGAGGAAGCAACAGCAGCAGATGAAAGAAGACATTCGACTGCGCATCTCTCCGAATGGATATCTTTAGGTGACATGATGAATAGAGCTATTGAAAGATGCCCAGAAAATACATTGATCCCATCAAAATCACTTGTAAGGCTTCAGTTTGCACCCAGAAATCCGTATGCCAAAACAGCCTGGTCATTCACATCCAAGATCGAAGTTCAGTATAAAATTCAGAAAAGACAATTAAGAGCTTGTCATCCAGATGAACATTACTGCAATACTCTTTTTAAGTACCAAAAGGAACGCGCAATTGAGCTGAATAATGATGATGATGTCAACGTTGTTTTCTTTAGTTGCGACGACAAAGCCAAAGTGCCACTTGGAGAACCTGGCTTTGCCATTAGTACAGGCGTTAGAGGGGAAAAATCTATTGCACCAACGTCAACAATTCTGGTGGCAGGCGATCATGATATGTCCAAGTCCAGCCTTACACCGTCAGTCTACCTACAAATGGATATACCAAGATCTACAGATGACTCTTTTGTCCGAGGGCAAGTCACTGTAACTGTGAATGATTCAGTATTCCAAACATCTACTCCATTCAGACATGCTGTTTCGCTGTCAAAGCTTCTGAAAGAAAAAGATCAAGTGAATGTTCTGCTCAAGTACTCTGATGGAGGAGTGGACCACCGAAATACTCTGGAGAGTGTTAAATGTGCTTATATATGTTTGTTTCTGGAATTAAACCTTGATATGTTAATTCTGTGTAGGTGCGCTCCTGGCCATAGTTGGCGAAATCCGGCTGAAAGAGTAATGTCGATTCTTAATTTGGGTTTGCAGAACTGCTCATTGGAAAGAGAGAGACTTGATGACAGTGATGAAGCTCTGTTAAAAAAATGTGGCAGCATGGCAGAGATAAGACAGTTATCAGTGAAAGAAGCTCATTTAAAGGAGTCCTACAAGACATCAGTTGAGCCGGTTCAGTCCCTTATTCAGAGTAGATTTAGACGGCTGAAGCTGAAAGATAAGGCAATTGAAACGAAAGATCCAGTATCTGATGAGGAAATTGATCTGTTTAAGAGACACTTACGTGAAAAGTTTCCAGAGATGAACTTGGAAAAACTGCAGAAAGTCAATACAGACAAAGTCAAGTCATACAAAATATGGAAAGAACAACACTGCCAAGAGAGACAGTACAGCTTTCAGATAAGAAAATGCTCTGATGAGAGTTGTTGCATTGCTCCAGATATACCGAAGGAGAAAATGTCTTGGCTACCTGACCCTACTTTGAAGGAAGATGAAGACGGTCATTATAAAAGTTATTCTGAGGTAAATGGAACACAAACAACAGAGGATGATCGACCCACCTACATAAACGCACCAGCCACTCCAAGACCTAATGTTGGAAAGAAAAGAAAAGTTCCTGGTAAGGCGACACCTGAACGTGTGAATATCATCACGACAGATCCAGAAGTTCAAGGTGACTTCACTTTTACCGCACAGACAGCGCGTTCAACATTACAATGTGTAGAGTGCTTGAAACCACGTGTAATATATGGAAAATTTAAACTGTCTGGAAGACAGGAGATCCAACTTGCACAGATCATGAGTGAATTCAACTTCAGCTGTGGTGCCCCATTAACACCGCCAGGACACGCTCTACATGGAAAGGTTACAGTGAAATTAGGAATTGATTGTTCGTCTCCATTGGAAGTAGCGTACTACTCTTCATCCCAGGCTCTTGGACCAACAGATTTATGTTTTTATTGTGGAAAAGAAGGCGCCTCTTTTGACATTACTTTAAAAGAAAAGTTTAAATCTGTATTGCCTGTGTGCGGGTCTTGCTTAGAGAAAGGCCTTGCTTACCCCACCTTTAGACCTTATGGAAAAACAAAAACAAAGAAATGATTTGCAAGACTTTCTTGTGGCAAGATTCATTGTTATTAAACAATGCACAATGCAAAAAAAAACATCTTCAATATGTATGTTGGTGAATTTCTGTTATTTTCCAATGAAACCCAATCTAACATCTTATTAAAACATGACAAAAACAGGAATATGACCCAGTGACAATCTCTATTTTAAGATATCTTTTGTATTTACATCAAATAATAGTATTTTGCGTATACTATGGCTTAAGTAATATTATATAAATGCAATTAGTTCAATGTTGAAAAGAAAAAAATAATACAAAAGCTTTAAAAGAATTATTGTTTTATTTTTCATTTACCAATGATTCATTTAGAGATGTGTTTGGTACTATACATGAAAAATTGTTTTATTTTTCATTTACCAGTGATTCATTTAAAGATGTTTTGGTACTATACATGTTATTCGCAGTCTGAAAAGGAAAAAAAAAATTTAAAAAAAAAAAAAAATGCCTACCTACCTACCCTATTTTTTTTCGCCTGAAAGCGGAAACAAACATATTTTTTTTCTAGGCCTAAAGTCTAATCGGAGATAAACTTTTCACAATTTCGCTTTGAGACTACAATCAGTCATTAGTAGGCAGATCATTGTAGAAAATGTGAACCAAACCTACATGAATATTTACTACAACCTAGAAATTTTTTTGATTGAATTTCGGTTAGAAACACATGGATATGGTCCACGTATTGCAGTCCTTTTTTAAAGGACAGCAACTTGTCTTCTTATTCTTGAAACATATACGACCTATCAAGATGTTCATATGCACGTAATTTAATTTTTGCAATTACAGATAACGTTATTAATCTACTTTTTTGAATGTTACAATGATTTCTAATTTCAAATATCAATCCTCTTAAGGTAAGGGAAAAATAACATTCACAATAAAATTATCAAATTATACAAATACATGTGTATATAAGGTTATAAAATACAGTATCAGTATGTCTCTTAAAGCAGTTTGAAAGCAAATAATATATACAAAACATAGCACAAGAATAGGATAATCAATGTCTATGTGCAAGAAAGAAGAACAGACAAAAGTTGTCAATATCTCTGATATTTACTGGAGTCTATATAACGAGATTCTTCATTAGAATTGGGGTGATGCAGAGATGCTCGAGCAAAGTAGGGATTTCTGTTATAGGATAAGGAGGAATTGGCATTGTACTGTTTTCCCGCCAAGGCAAGGTCTCTCCAGTTTCTGATTGGTTCACCATCATCCTGTTTGCTTTTTTGATGATTATTTCTGTTTAAAAATTATGTAAAACACATTTATAACTAAATATTTATACCAGTTTCTAAATTATTACCTTTAAAATAAAGAAAAGTCATTGAAAGCCTCTTTTTTTAAGTTTTAAAAGATAAAATTAAAGTTTAACTGAAGCAAATATATTCTGGGGATCTTTTATACTGTTCATTTCAAATAAAAGCTGTTTTTCTCAACCACAATGCGCAATGAAAACTCCAGTCAGTCCCCGTAAAATCAAAAGAAATCAATACTTACGATTTGCTACATTTTCTGGCTACCAGTCCTATGATTATCATTAATAAAACTATTCCAACAATGGAAGTGGAGACTCCAACGATCAGATGGGTTTTGTTCACTTTTATGTATTCGTTCTCTGCACTTGTAACTGGAGAGATTATTTTTGTATATGTTGTTTCGTCTTTCACAATAGTGGTAATAGATGTTGTTTTCTCTTCATTTTGTTCCGATGATCCCTTCGATGTGGATTCTTGTAATATTGTTGTTAGCATGCTTTCGATTGTTGTTTGACCACATGCTAAGTTGACAAAAGTCCAATTATTTTAATTAACATAATAGCATATGAAGTAAATAATTAAAAAAGAAACTCAAATCACATCTAATTTTTCAAAATACAAATAGAAAATAGGGACAATGTATCATAGTAAGAGACTTGCATTGGCTTTCTGTCCAGTTGTATTTATCATTCGTTGCATTGCAGTAAAGACACTCGTTGGTTGAACTAATCTGCATGGGGCTAATGCATGTACTATCAATGTAACAGAATTTCTCCTGTAAATAGTAATAAATAAGGTTTTTCCTGTTGCGAAAGTTCTTTTAAAATAACTACATATACGTACAAGTAAATGTGTGCAAAAACAACATATCTTTTCAAATAACAAGATTTACATAGTTTTATGAAACATATGGGAAAAATTAGTGGTAAGTTTTTAAAAACATTTAATTTAATAGACAGAGATGTTATAGAGTACAAGGGATTTTTATATAATTATATATCCATTAAGCCAGCCACAATAATGCTTAAAATGCACTCTACGAAGATTCACAGAGAGAGAGTGTGTGTGTGTGTAAGAGAGAGAGAGGAGAAATAATAACACGTACCTTTAAGGTGAAGTACACATTTCCTGATTCGTTGTGGTACTCCTGGCACTGAGATTGGTATATAATAACATTATACGTGTCTGTATAACGTACTCCGTCATTGGAGATGTTGAATTTGATTTCGGTTGTCCAGATGTCAGTAGTATCGTACGGAAGCGGACAGTATCCCTCAAACAGTGTCCTCTCTTGTAAATTCAATTGTCTGACCCCACTCTCTTTTGTTTGGTTAATCTTTGTCTGAGATAGAATAATGAAACATATGATATTGCTGAAAAAATAAAAGATACTCATAAAAAAAGTCACCATATAGTCATCAAGAGGACCAAATTTAGACAATCACTTAGCTTATGAGTTGGGGACCAACATAATGAAAACTCCTACCGTATCAATATCAAATTAACCTGTCTTTTCAGGTGCATTAAAAGCAGAAGATATTTAACGAATGAAAAGTTACTCCATTTATTATCTTTCATAGGTATACCACTCACGGCGACTGAATCGACGACCCTCCTACCTATATATACTGAACGAATGACTATTCAGACGTACCTGTTTCACATTAAGATAGCATATTGAGTTCATGTTTTCAAAGAAATATTTCCCTATAATTGTTGCTTCTTTACAGGTTTTAGCAGACAGATCACACAGACCAACCCCGGGAACACTTGTTATGGTAGGAGGTGCGAGTAAATCAAAGGAACAGTCGCTCCCTCCAAAACCAGTGTCACAGGTACAGTTACCTTAAAATATATTCGACGAAAGAATTAACATGATGGTCGCCAGAAAAATGATTTCTATGGAATCAAGATAAAAAAAATTTTATAATTTATTTTCTAATTTTGAAAAAAAATTAATGAAGTATATATATATTTTTTTTAATTTATTTCAATTTATTTTATTCCTTGGACTCTGAAAATTCTTATTTTTTCTCAAATATTATTATTTATTTTAATAATATAATATATTCAAGAAAGAACAGCTGACACAGATTCTTAACATCGTATGATCCAATAAATTGCATACCACCATCACACGTGCCATGTCCGGAACAATTATTGGGACATAGGTTTTGTATTGTATACGTTACTTCCGGTTCTGATTCTTGCAGTGTGGCATTCAAAAGCACAAATGTTGAACATTGCTGTAGGGCGGCTTCGACGTGAATGTGCGTTAGGTTATCATCGCCAGTCAACTGAAAAAAAGATTTAAGCATTCAATTTGTTCAATTAAATCTTCTTTTATGCAAAAAACAAACCAATAAACAAGCTTATAACGTAGTCGTTCTGACGAATGGGTTTGCTTTGTTATAAGCGTAATTCGTTGTATTCGTCCAGTTAAAAAAATTATGAAAAAGTTATGGGGAATGAAAATCATTTCGCTTTATGTGTCAATTTATATGTGTGTTCGGTATAAGTGTGTTTTACTGTACAAGTTAACTGATATTAGAAGGTAAGATTGCATTATATAACATATAAAGTTCTTGTAATAAACCTACTTTTATGTCTTCGATGCAGTTGGACAAGGTTACATTACTTAGGTCAGTCACATGTTGTTGACAGGTGTTGTATTCGGGTGAATTTTCAAAAGCCTGGAGACAAACTCTCTCCGAGTATTCAGTGGTCTGTACGTAGGAAATCGAACGTTTCTTTCTCTGAAATTGTTAAATCAATAACATCTTATCATGATATTTATATTATTGGTTTTACCTTTAAGAAATAAAATATCATTTTTAGAGTGTCATTGGGAATTGACATGAAGTCGGTCACGTGATCAAATTCTCTAACGCCCGACTTTGTTATTGAATGCAACTTAACGTATAAATACGACGTCATATGACGTCACATTCAAGACTTTCCAAATGTCTCGTGCAGTTTGCTTTCCATAAGCAGGATAGTCAGATCTTGTGACCGACTGCATGTCATCGAAAATTGAATTTCATTTTTTTGCATTGTAATATAAGGAAAGACATTGGCAAATGTAAATATAGGAGATTGTAACTATTTAATATATAATTATATTTCAATGAAAATAGTATCAAATTCAAAATCATTATTTTGGCATCTATGCAAAATGGATATATAGAGAATTTCAGGTCTTTAAAATAAGTTCAAGATATTTTAACAGGTGAATGGAATAAATTTCAGGAATTAATTGCATACTAATAAATGACCCCTTTCCATGGACATATCGGAAACATCCCGTTTTCGTCTTCTGTTCTGTACAAGATCTACGTTACATTCATACTGTTTGCCTCTGTTTGAGTTGCAGGGTGTAAACGTATTGTAGGAACACAGGGTTCTACCGTCTTCCGTGCATGCGCAGTGAGGAACTAGAATGGAGGACACTGATTGCAAACTGCTATAAACTGAGGAGTTACCACTGAAGAGATTTTCGTTGTCCGGAATCCTACAAACAAAGGCAATGTTTACAAATGTAATTTTACGTTGGGTGTCCATGCGAAATGTCACCGAACAATGGAATATTTCTAAATGTAAATATCTAAACCTACATCCATGACTTAGAGAAGTCATTAGGATAAATCTGACCGATGTCGTCTGTAATCGTACTGTTTCGCCTTCTGAAGTCGTTTTCCCTAACTCCATCAAAGTAACCACATAAACCGTCAGTATTTCCTATATCCATCGCAGAGGGAAGGATCTCCAGATCGATGTTATAATGTCCACTCCACTCCATAATATAGATGGCAAGTGACGTACCAGTGGGGAAATATATCTGAATATGCAAATATAAAATTTCCGTATAAAGTCATCGAAAGCATGTAGAAAAAGTACAGATCAATTTTAATGTTGTCTACAGAATGTGATGCAGAAGTTTTCCTTTCAGACCTATACTGTAAAATGAGTATTAAACACTGTTAAAATAACATTTTTTGACCCCCTAACCGAAGATAGGTGAAAGGGCATAGAGTATCTAGTTTTTACCCTGCCATTAAGTCTGGTTGTCCCCCAAACCACTAGCCCTGCTCATAACTTTTGAATGGGGGCTCCTAGGGTTTTTATAATTCGATTGTGTAATTAAAGTGAAAAATCATTTGTTTGACTATCAACATCTTTGACCTCTAACATTGACCTTGGTGTTACAATGTATGTCTACTTTTGCAGAAAAGTACTACACTTTAACATTGGTGAAAAATTTTGAACAGTTTAAGGCAGGGCTTTTAAATTTTATTGTTTTATTGAATGTTCTAGATCCCTTCTTCTAAAAACCAACGTTTTGATCTTGTTTTAAAAGAAAAACTTGAATCTTTGATAGCACTTTTAATTGACAAATGAAAACAAATTTTACATATTTCATGATTTTTTTTTAACTTGTATGTACATGCATCAGTGTAATCTAGATAAATAATTGATTTTTCTGACCTAGGTTGTTTTTGTGTCTTTGCTTAACGTTCTTACCTTGTAATACTTGTCGTGAATTTTCGTGACCTTTAGAACATTGTCCTCACACAACTCATAGCTGATGAAGTTATTTTCTCCACATAAATCTATGACGAAGACATCTCTCCCTGCTCTGGCTACGACTGCGCAGACGCACCAGGGACCATCGTATGAAGGGATACATAGGTGGTGTTTAGAGAGAATCTAAAATATAGTTCTAAGTGTTAAGAAATGTTTTAAATATTATTGAATCTTAAATGTAGTTTCTTTAATTGTTTTTTTTTTCAAAAAAGGTCAGGATTTTTTTTTAAAAAATTGTTTGTTTGCCCTCCCCTTACATATACCGATCGACTGATTGAAAATGCCCTGACAAAAATAAAATACTTTAGAATATATAAGTCATTTATTTTTCATTTCATACAATTTATTACTATCTAGACGCTAAAAAGTGTTCCCGACTAGAACATGTCCCCTTTAACTAGTTCTACTGACCAAATATTTTTTTATTCTGAATTGCGAAAGGGCAAGCAGACATATTAACAAAGATGTCCTCAATTGAGTACATTCCTAGAAAGTTTCTAACCATTAACGCCATTTTCTTAATCCCTTCTTCCATTTAAATCGTTATATTTTTATATATTTATCTGTCATCACTTTAGATACAATAATAAATTTAATCAAGGCTTAACAAAAAAAAATGAACAGGGCATGTCAAATTATTGAATTAATCATACGTACCCATTGAAGTTGAGGTTGATTTCGATAATTTATATATTCCCCCGGTATCTGACATTCGTATGATCTGGGGTGAGAATAAAATTGATTATATTTTCCTTCACATAAGTCATTGACAAAACTTTTTTAATTATTATATGGTGGAATAGCAAAATTAATGTTGTTGGGGAATCACGTAGTTAAAATAATCAGACTTCAAATGGTTGGCATCTATAAACTTTTAAGTTTCCGTCTACAAATATATGTGGCTTATTTAAGGAGTTATTGTCTAATTTGTTGAATTTGCCAGCGCATCAAGGATAGTTGGAAACGCGGGATAACTTGCAAAACGGACGAAATCCGTTATTTATAAACTATCCCACATTTCCAACTTTCGTTAATGCCCCTGGGGAAATTGAATAGTGATTCCTAATATTCTAATTTTATTGTGAAATAATTTTGTAAATGTTGATTGAAAAATGTTGTCTAATAGATTTAAATAACATGAGGTCTTGAATGTCAATTTCAAGTCTCCACATACATGTACTGACAAAAGAAACAAAGAAACAAAAGATGCACTTGCTATACATGCATATTTGGCCTTCTTAACTCCCGACCTTTCTTTTAGCAAAATTTACATTCCTGTTGAATTATCAAGAAATCAGCACTCCTAAACAACGTTTAAAGAGTACTCAGAAAGAAAATAGATTCAAGAAAATTCAATAATTTCGAGATGAAATAAGATTATTAATATATTTTAGTGTGAAATACTATTGCAATATATAAGATGTGATTTTATACAAACTACATGTATTTGAGAAAATATTAACTTTAAATATGTGTCTAAGCACCTTTAGGGTTGTTAAGAAACGTTTTGCCTTACTTTCCGTCAAAAGTATACATGTGAGGATCTGCTCTTACACCACACGATCTTCCTTTCCAGTTTTCATTTCCTTCTCGAACACTTATCTGTAACATAAATTCTAAACATCGTTATAATGTACCCTTTAGTTAAAGCTGGTCGCCCGCATGGCGCAGTGGTTAGAGCGTCTGTTCTAGAGTCGCGAAGTAAGAAGTTGGTGTTTCAGTCGCGGGTCCGAATTCAATTCTCGAGATGGACGTTAAACAACACAGAATCATCAGTATAGTATATGTATAATGTGTTTGTTAAACAGTTTCAAAAATGAGTAAAAATACAAAAAGGCGATACATTACAACATATATATAGTATTAGTATAAATTAGTTTTTTTTATTATTAATTTGACACATATTCCGATCACTATATAAAGAACTTTATTTTTCATTTATATATTGAAGTTTTCAATGTACTTCATTTTAGAAACTTAAATATATTAAGCGTTGCTTAGGAATAGAAAATTGTCTTAATCATTGTTCATTCTGTTCTAATTAAGTTGAAGCGTCTGCTCTAGGGTCGCGATGTCGCGGATTCGATTTAAAGTATGGGACAGTGACACCGGTCCTTCGGATGAGACCGTATTAACATAGGTCCCGAGCCGCAGTAGGTGCTGGCACGAACGACATCCCTTACTGCTCAATGGCCCTGAGTACCGAGAATAAGGCAAAATTTGCAGCTGTCTCCAAATGAATGAAAAATTCTCGAAAGGGATATATAAAAACATACAATTAATCAATCTAATTAAGCGTAATCTACATACCGAAATGTCGGGCAAAGACACATGCTCGAATATTTTACTTCCAACACCGTTAGTTCCTCCCGTCTTTAATCTTAAGGTCATCTGACTGTTGATGACGTAACCATCCGTGTCTTGGCTATAAACCGGAAATGAAATATTCTGCGTCCATTCCCCGTTTTCATACTTGTGTTTTTCATTGTAGTTAAAGCTTTTAACTTTAACCTCGCACTGATTGGACGAGCCCCCGCCACCACATGTAGAGGAATCGTCTGTTTTAAAGGTCATATGAATGTTCAGGTCGCTAACTGGTTGAGGAATACCATTGATAAAAAGCGATTCTGAGGCAAATGGTATCGTCATTTCTAATTGGACATTCTTTGATCCTTTCCTTTCTAATTCAATTTGTGGATTCAGTATCTTCAGTCATTTTTCAGGATAAATATCCATAAACATTGTACATTGCGAAGAATACTGAGATTTCTTTTAAATTAAAATGAAAGCAATTTTTTTTATGTTTTAGCATACATCTTCATTACTATCTTAAAATTTATACATGTAAACGTTAAGCTTAAATATTTCATATATTACCTTAATTCCAGCAAAAAATGGATTTCCAACTTTGTAAATACAGGAAATGCTTTCTTCTTTTCGTTTTGCACCAACTTTACACCATACCTTACACAGAAAACAAAAAAGGAAATGGTATTTGGCATATCTAAATTGATCAATAACTGAATAAAAACTTGCCTTTTTGACATAAAAATTATTTGCAGTAGGGTTTACCTCCCTTAAATTGACAAAAGCCTTAGAAAATTAAAAAAATTTAATAATATAATTTCTGTTTGCTACGTCCTCCTTTAAAAATGTTTTTTTTATTTTCTCTCTGCAAATCATGCCTTCTCGATGATATTTTAATATGCTTTTTATGTGAACAAAAATGTTTTCATGATGAAAAGTACTTACTTCAGACCCAATCTTTTTCCCAATTTTCAAAATATCATAGGCTGTTATTACTGTTGTATAATTACTGGATTTGTCAACTGTTTGATTGACAACTTCCTGTCCATCAATATACCATATGACGTCATATAATAAATCTTCATCTGATTTTAAACTGAAGTTGCAGAGAAATGTCACAGCGGGGTCATATCTGATAATGTTATTAAATTTTTCTCTCTTCCATGTCATGTTATGGTATGAAACAGATACATCAGATGGCGCCCAATCAATACCTGTTTTGAAGAAATTTATACAAAAGGAGTCACTGAAAAAGCAAAACTACATAATTGTTACCACTTTAAATTTGTGCTAAATTATCAATGTACAGTTTAACCTGTATATTCATGACACCATTGGTTCCAAAAAGATGTGTTTGATATGATTCTGGAATAAACAGCTTTTAAAACAATTGAATTGATCAAAATTGAATATATTCAATAAATTTATTGACAAAATACTGCATAACACAACATCCGGTTAAGACAAGTGTCACTGTATCTATGTAAAAAAAGAACTTTATACTCACAATAATCCGTGTCGACTAAAAGTGTAAACAAGAAATTATATAAATTTAATAAGATCAAATATTCATTATAAAGACAGAAAAAATAACAATTCCGAGTTATAAACACTGTAAAAAAGTGCTTTTTACAAGCAACTGCAAACCTTTATCACAAGTATCATTTATCCATCCTTGGGCACATCCTCCCAGACAAGTTCCATTAAATCTGTCGCAAAGATACGGTGTTATACAGTGACTGCTACATCTCTGTGAACAATCACGTCCATACCAACTGATATTGCAAGCTAAAATAAATTTACAATATTAATTTCATCAATACCTCTTCACATTACGTCAACTAGGTTGCGACACAGAAATCGTCTTTGGAATACTTTAAAAGATTAGATCTTGTTTAAATAAATTTAAGGAATAACTGTCTAATATTTTGATTTCATGATGGTATCAATCGCGTGACTTGCGTGATAATTTGCATAAAACGTCAAAAGCGTTTATTCATACAATTATCATGCAATTCAATCGATTGATCATCGTCATGAAATAAAAAAAAATCTGACAGTTATTCCTTGTATTAATGTGCTCTTGATTGGACGCTAATGCACGTGCAACAGGCCCGCTTCTGTCTCTATCGGTTCACGTCCCGTCCCACAGGTAATTTTTTTAACAGTGCCTGTCGATGAACCAGTACTTTGATGGAGAAATAAAGTACATTAACTATATGTAATTTTATCTCGGACAAAGACATTGGAAATGTAAATATATATACATCAACATTTGCTATAATGTAGATTAATTTTTGTCTCATCTGCATCAACCGTCAAGATCATAGGTCAAATATTGTAATAAGAACCTATCACTAGTAACGAATATTGAAAAAAATTGGAAAACCTTCAAAGTTACGGATAAAACTAAAATTTTCGACAAGTCAAATTTAAGGTGAAGGTCAATCATCAAATCCAATCTTTCTGAAAAGTGTAGCCACAGGAAATGTTAATGATAAACACAATAGCCAAATTGTTCTCTCATTAAAAGGCACGTTCTTAAACAGACCAACCTTGATTGCAGTTTGTTGATGTCCAGCCTGTAGTACAACCGAGTGAACAGTTCCCAGTCACGTGATCACAAGCATCATCAAAGCAATGTCCACAACTATACATACAGCTTGCACCATATGTATTATTCGAACACTCTATAAAAGTTTTTGTCAAAAGTGAAGATTCTGATATTTTACTTAAGCTCTCAAAACTTCTTTTGAAATCAAAATCAAAATGTGAGATTGAGTACGTCCTGCTTACCTTCTGTGCAATTTTCACCAGTATACCCATCTTTGCATAAACAAGATCCATTGAGAGGGTTACACTGATCACAGTTTTCTGCGCAGGGTCTACATGGACTACCATACTGATTTTTAGGGCATCCTATTGCAAGAACATAATATAAATATGAAAATTACTGACCTTACTCGATTAATTTATTTATGGTTTGACCTTCGCTATCGAGATTAAGAAATATTGTATGCATGAGATTGAGCGCTCAACTGAATTGAAAAACAATTGAATTAATTTTTTTTCTGTATCTCTAAAATATTTAAGTCGCCTGAATTGTGCAGTGGTACGAGGGTCTGCTCTAGAGTCACGGAGAAGTTGATCCGTACGTCGCGGGTTCGAATCCCACTGTGGTTCGTGGAGATCGGTTCTTCGGATGAGGCCGTATTAAGATTTCTCACTACTTAGTGCCAAAATTTGCAGATCTCAAGAAGCCCATACTTGCTTCTCCATAAGAGTGAATAATTCTGAAGAATGACGTTAAACAACAAACCAGAAGTCTCTGTCGAGACTGAAGCTCTACTGGTTTGTACTTATAGCAAAGGAAGAGGAAAGTACTTAAGCAGTTGGGAATTGAAACTTTACACTAGCAAAAAAGAGAATAATGATCCTTGAATAAGTTTCTCTATGTTCTTAGTGTAGTCTACTTGCATGCCACATTATATTATAATCAGACTAAAACTGTATTTGAAGTAGCATTTTGAGAGTAACAGAAATTGCTATCTTTATTAACCAAGGTAATAATGTTCATTGAAGTCAAAAACGGATATAAAGAATGATGTACCTTAGTGTAGTCTACTTGTGTGCCAAGTTATATTGAAATCAGACCAAAACTGTAGGAGGAGTAGCATTTTGAAAGAATTTCACAGAAATTTCTATTTTTAGTAACAACGCCAACACCATTCGTCGAAATCAAAAACCAATACACAGAATTATGTATCTTAGTGTAGTCTACTTGTGTGCCAAGTTATATTGAAATCAGATCAAAACTGTAGGAGGAGTAGCATTTTGAAAGAATTTCATAGAAATTTCTATTGTTAGTAACAACGCCAACACCGTTTGTCGAAATCAAAAACCGATATACAGAATTATGTATCTTAGTGTAGTCTACTTGCATGCCAAGTTATATTGAAATCAGACCAAAACTGTAGGAGGAGTAGCATTTTGAAAGAATTTCATAGAAATTTCTATTTTTAGTAACAACGCCAACACCGTTTGTCGAAATCAAAAACCGATACACAGAATTATGTATCTTAGTGTAGTCTACTTGTATGCCAAGTAATATTGAAATCAGACCAAAACTGTAGGAGGAGTACCATTTTGAAAAAATTTCACAGAAATTTCTATTTTTAGTAACCATGGCAACAACATTCATCAAAATCAAAAACCGATACATAGAATTATGTATCTTAGTGTAGTCTACTTGTGTGCCAAGTTATATTGAAATCAGACCAAAACTGTAGGAGGAGTAGCATTTTGAAAGAATTTCACAGAAATTTCTATTTTTAGTAACAACGCCAACACCGTTCGTCAAAATCAAAATCCGATACACAGAATTATGTATCTTAGTGTAGTCTACTTATATGCTAAGTTATATTGAAATCAGATCAAAACTGTAGGAGGAGTAGCATTTTGAAAGAATTTCACAGAAATTTCTATTTTTAGTAACAACACCAACACCGTTTGTCGAAATCAAAAACCGATAAACAGAATTATGTATCTAAGTGTAGTCTACTTGTGTGCCAAGTTATATTGAAATCAGACCAAAACTGTAGGAGGAGTAGCATTTTGAAAGAATTTCACAGAAATTTCTATTTTTAGTAACAACGCCAACACCGTTCGTCGAAATCAAAAACCGATACACAGAATTGTGTATCTTAGTGTAGTCTACTTGTGTGCCAAGTTATATTGAAATCAGATCAAAACTGTAGGAGGAGCATTTTGAAAGAATTTCACAGAAATTTCTATTTTTAGTAACAACGCCAACACCGTTCGTCGAAATTAAAATCCGATACACAGAATTATGTATCTTAGTGTAGTCTACTTATATGCCAAGTTATATTGAAATCAGATCAAAACTGTAGGAGGAGTAGCATTTTGAATAATTGTTTACAGACAGACAGACAGACGGACGGACGCCGGACGCATTACTATCGCATAAGCTCTTCTGGTCTCTGACCAGTAGAGCTAACAAAAACAATGAAGTATAATTTCGTTGTTCGAGTTAATAATAAGGGTTAATAATATATTGTCTTACTCTCGTTTATAGTTGCGTCTCCATAAGAGTGAAAAATTCTGAAGAATGGCGTTAAACAACAAACAAAAACCAGAGGTGTCTGTCGAGACTGTAGCTCTACTGGTTTGTACTTATAACACAGGATGCGAAAAGAAACCATTGCCATCAGACCAAAACTAAAGAAGGAGTAGCGTTTTAAAGGAATTTCACGGATATTTCTATTTGTATTAACAATGGCAACACTGTTCATCGAAATCGAAAACAGATGCACTATTTTATGTATCTTAGTGTAGTCTACTTGTGTGCCAAGTTATAATGAAATCAGACCAAAATTGTAGTAGGAGAAGCGTTTTAAAGGAATTTCACAGAAAATTTTATTTTTAGTAACCATGGCAACACCGTTATTCGATATCAAAAACCGATGCACTATGTTATGTATCTTAGTGTAGTCTACTTGTGTGCCAAGTTATATTAAAATCAGCCCAACACTGTAGGAGGAGTAGCGTTTTGAAAGAATTTCACAGTAATTTCTATTTTTAGTAGGGATGGGTATCGCCAAAAATTTCGTATCGCGATATATCACGATTTTTTCCCACAATATCACGATGATATCATGATATTTTTAAAAGCAGTTTTTACAATGATTTTATATGAAAAGTCATTATTTTTCTAAAAAATATGCTAGACAAACAAAATTTCACATTTTTGAAATTTTTATGTAAATAAAACTAATCATACTCGAATGGTAAGATGTCATTCTTTTCACCTTTTACAGCATTTTTTATACTTTCTGTAATTGTAATTTGAAAGATTAAACAAATAAATGAAAAATTTCTGGACTTTATAATATGTACCTAAAGACCGGTATTTAGGTCTCCGTATCACGATACGTATCACGCAACAAAAAATCGTGATATACCGGTATACCGATAAAATCGCACATCCCTAATTTTTAGTAACAACGCCAACACCGTTCGTCGAAATTAAAATCCGATACACAGAATTATGTATCTTAATGTAGTCTACTTATATGCCAAGTTATATTGAAATCAGATCAAAACTGTTGCGTCTCAATAAGAGTGAAAAATCCTGAAGAATGGCGTTAAACAACAAACAAAAACAATGTAGTATAATTCCGTTGTTCGAGTAAATAATAAGGGTTAATAATATATCGTCTTACTCTCGTTTTTACTTCTACTGGTCAGAGACCAGAAGAGCTTATGCGATAGTAATGCGTCCGTCGTCCGTCTGTCTGTCTGTCTGTCTGTCCGACTGTAAACAAATTTTAAACGTTTAGAAGATCTAACTCTGACTCAGAAGAGCAAAGTACTGTAGGCGGATCATTTGAGTAGTATAAATTCTTACGGTTAAACAAACTTGAAGAGTAAATATATTCAACAGGTGTTTGGAATATAGTTTTTAAAACTGTAGGTCTAGGAAAGCTAGTGCTGAGAGATTCAGACCAGGTGGGCTCTGTAATAAACAGGTAACAGATAAAAAAAAAAAAAGAAAAGTTAAAATCGTGCTGTTGATTAGTATTGATAATCAAATCCACTAAGCTAAATACAAATAAGAAACTAAAGAAAAATGATATATATCTTTATTCATGGTCGAACCCAAGAATAAAGCCGCTTACAGCAATAAAAATTGCTTGTAAATTGAAGGGCTCTTACCGTTAATTTCTACCTCACAGATGGACAGTGAAGGAATGAACGTTTCTGTGACGTTATCAAGAGAAAAACTGAACCACATATAAATGTAGCGATTTTGTACTGGAAAGGGAATTTTAATAACACTTGAGGTAGAGGCTGGTATCTCTTCGATTCCTGAATACTGGTAGTGTGGTGTGTAATAGTTGAACTTGATTGTTGCATATCCTGTCATGATGAAGGGAAAAAAAATTAAAAACAAGGTCATCTTTACAAAACGTTTTGTTTGTCCCCTCTCTTTACGGACTGCTTAAAACTGATGTGTCTCAAAACTTTTTTTAACCCCAAAAACTATATGTTACTTTTTATTCCTTGATTTCTGTTCTGGTCAAATATTCGCAAGTTGTCCGTAAAGTTCACCGACAAGGTAAATTTTAAATAAAATCTATTTTAAATAAAATCTGTTTCATTGACATGTAATATTAACATATTTATTACCCTTTTCTAAATGTGATTTACAAAATATAAAATTATGTTCAATTAAAATTGTATAATTACAATTATGGCATCATTATTTAACTTGCGATGGTGACCCGGAACACCGCAAAATATTCGTAAATATTGTAATTGTTAAGAGAGATAACTTTCTGAAGACATTTCACCACAAAATTCAAGATATTATCATGAAAGTTTTACAGATTGCATTCACAAAGACAATTTTATAGTTAACTTAATCGAATCTGTTCTATCAAACTAATGTTGATTTCTAGATTCTATTGCAATACTTTTCATAAATTTTTTATTAGTTTACCTATAACATTTATACTTAGTTCCTTTAAACGGTTTATATTGAGATATTTCTATCTATTAACGTATAAGTCATTTAATTGTTACAGAAATTTCAGGGGCAGTATTGTTTATAAATATTTAATTAATATTTTGTTTCACTAAAAAAATTCAAGGGCGGTAATGGAAAGATAAACACAGAAAACAATTTAATATTCTGATTTAAAAAGCAACGCTTCAGTAATGAGAATAGGATAACTATGAGAGTAAATATTATCTTCATATATACGTACCTCATATTTCTAATTTTATTGTGAGATAAAAAATAATTCATTTTTCTATGTACCATTTCATATTTTTCTTCACATCATGATTTGACATATTATTCATTTCTTAAAAAGTAAGCAAAGCTGCATACTTCAAACTACTTTCTATTTGATTCTAATGCATTTTTGATAGATGAAAATAAATGTTAGGAATTTTAAAAAATGTAAAACTTGGAGCAGAGGGATAATTCACCTTAAGGGCAAAAAATCCAAACTTCCCTACCGACACAATATGTTGAAAGAGGGCAAACAAACATTATTTTAACCCCCTTCCCCGCAGTCACGCATTTTAACGCATATACGATTTCCCATTTCTAACGCAAAATCACGTATATACCGTTTCCCGCAATCACGCATTTTCACGCACTTTAAAAAGTTCATTTAATCCTTACTTTAATGACTATTTCCTTCTATTTTATGCTTGCAAAAATCTCATCAAATAAGAAAAGTTATTTTTGTATTCAAATATAGCATCATAATATAATTTACGCTAAACTTTAGAGAAACTTGTACCACGCTAAAAGGTGCTTGCGGGGAAATGGTAAATTTCTGTTTCCATGACGTGAACATTCAGTGTATGTTGCGTAACAGTACAGTAAGTTGTAAAGTGTTAAACATAGCATAAGATGCCCAAGAATGACGCTCCGTTTTTTTATTTCCTGCTTACATGGAATCTCGTGATCATTGAGGAACATTGTCATACCTTTATTGATAAAGTAAAACTGTATATCTTTCAAATTGTAAATATTCTGTAGAGGAATGTGAAAGCTATATGAAAATATTTTCAATAGAGAGAAGTCAAGACAGCTAGGCTCCTTGTTGGATCCATCGAGCAAACGATAGGAAGGTAAATAGTAGGTGTGATGATCCTCGTGGTAAGTTAGAGTTGAATATGATTGTAGAGCCACATTTTCAGTATCTGCGAAGAAACATTATACCTTCATCTGTGTGAAAGAAATAGAATTGTGTAGATTTCATTTATACACATATTCCTTAATACGCACTTTGATTTTACCGTATACTGTATACTCGACTATAAGTCGGTTGTATTTAGAAGTTATTTTTTGGAATTTTCAATTAGCCCGCTTATATATTTGCCATAATTTTTTCAAGTTTATGTAAAAAGTTTTAGAAAATTGCCCACTTAAAATAAAACTAGTAATTTGAATAACAGATTTACTTTTTGCATATTCTTAGAATAAAGGTATAATAAAATGAAAAAAAAGACTTTGATGATTTCTGGTCTTGTAGAGTAGGCTTTCCCCCCTAAAATCTTTCCCCCGGGAAAACTGGCTCTAGAGCAGGATTTCTCCTACGGAAATCCCACACCAGAGTCAATTTTCCGGGGGGAAATCCTACTCTGTGTAGTAGTTATAGAGTGCGATTTCCCCCAGAGCCAGTTAACCCCCTCCCTTCCAATAAATAATAATTGCTGTACTTATGTTTTGAAGGGGATGGGATGGCGCATTGTTACAAGTGTCCCTTCTTCAAAATGGTGACCAGATGTCTTGAACATACGTATACGAAGAATGGAAATAAAAATTTCTAAATCTCATTTTCTCAGCAACTGTCAAACCATTTTTAGATTTTAAAAAAAGCGATGAATCCAGGGGGAATATAGGTCTACTCTTCGTCTGTCTGTTTAGCTGTCCCTCTGTCTGTCCCAAATGGTTTTTCGCACTTTTTTCTAAATATTTGAAGATATTGAGCTAGTTTTGGTTTTGAGTGTATCTTAGTGAGTTAAAGTTCGAGTTTGGATTTTATTTCGATTAAATTTTTTTTTCATTTTTTCATGGAATTACGACAACAACGGTCATGTGGAGCGCCAGAATGTCATGCACGTTTCGGGAGATAATATAAGAAAGCGATAAAAATACAAGTAAAGTTCATTTGTTTGTGGGATTCAGCAGGAAATCTAGTATGATATAAGCGACTGGATTAATCTCGCTTTCGGTGTTTCTTGATGTACAAACACTTTCTGAACACTTCACAGCACCACAAAACGACAGAGAAAACTGGAAACATAGGAAGAAAAAAAAACCAAGATAAACAAGACGCAAAACAAAGTATCAAATTGTTGTATAAATTACTATGGGTAGCCTATTTGAGACATATTTTTTTTAAAGTCGGTATAGACCAATAAGTACATTTATTTATTGGAATAATTAAAAAAAAATATAAAGACCTTATTCGACCTTACTCGATGATAATCGACGGGAAAAATTATAAAATACGAGGGGTTATCAAAAAGTTCGTGGACTGAGGCTATAAAATTAGTACTATGTAGTCTGTGCTTTCAAAATTTGTATGGAACATTAAACAACAAAAAATAAAGAAATTTTGAAAATTTTAGCTCGATACCTTTGTTTTTTGCAAAATTATTATAAAATAAAAACGACATTATATGATCACCCGGCGCTGTCGCTGTTTAGTTTTATGACGTCCGACAACGTCTTTCGTTTTCAATGTCCGCTTCTTCTACTTCAGATACCTATTTTGATGAGATTCCCTGGAGCTGAGTAAGGACTTAAATTCGCCTTGTTTATATGACTTTACAAAGACATGAACAGTGGCTTTCAAAGAATATAATATTCCAAATGGATTTATACATTGAGAGTGATCCTAGCTTGATTGTGCCAGCATATTTCGCTTTTGGGAGTTCAATATCTACAACACATGCTCAATGTCATTTTTTGGCGTGATTGATTTTTCACACCTTGACTACAAATTGACATTAACTGTGCATCCCTTTTCTCTCTGAATCTATTTTGACATTAAAAGACAAGTACTCCGGATGCATATTATTTCTCCGTAGCCAGTTTAAACATTTCTTAGGTTTATACCAGTTTTTCAAGTGCCAAATTTTATAGAATGTGGGAAAAGGAAAACCCTCCCCCTTTTGGCGTCATTTCCCAGGCCTTATTTGTTTGGACGCGCCATGTAAAATTTACAATAAAATTTTATAGAACTTCCAGAATGAAGTAAAAAGTTCAAATTTTATGGAACAATTGTGTCCCAACACATGCATGAATTAACGGGATTTTTGGATGTCAAATATTCATATCAAAAGAGTTTTTCTCAGTTACACATAGGTCGCAAAACGATGTATTCGAGGTTGCGCCGCCTGGAAAAATCATTGCTAACAAAAACATTACTAATTTATTGAAAAATAAAATTTATGATTTATGGCTTATTCTTTAGATAGAAAAGATGATGCTAACTTAATATTTTAAAATTCATTTATGTACCTAGAGCGGTTTTGATTCTATGGCACTAATGCACGAACTTTTTGATAATCCCTCGTACTACCTTTTGTCGTCCTGAAAAATTAAAAATGTTTCTCTATGACTCGCCTTTAAGTCGTACAGATCGAGAGTTATAGACCAAAATTTAACTTTAAAAAAAAAGACATAGGCGAGTATATATGTGAGCATCATGGCATCAAAACCGAATTTCAATATTTACTGCGTTATAACTTGCAGGTGTCATAACAGTATTTCACTTGGGTTCACGTCAAATCATGGCTGATGCAAAATAATCCCGGAATCTCCCCTTCCGGTTCTGGCATTTTGATACGAGACTGGAGCTAATTTTTTTTTATCAGATAAAAAACAACATGTAAACTTTCTGTATTGACCAGATTTATTAAAATTTAGGGCGTGCTGATTTTTCTACATATTGCCAAGAGTGGGGAGTGATTAGGTCCTGGACTAGATTTTCAAGCACCTGCTCGACTTCATCCGAAATAAACTTGCGTGCCTTGCTGGATGGCTATGTAATTTTTGGTACTAAAATCTTCATAAAGAATGGTTTTACAAGATCTGAAAAGGAAACCTCTCTGAAGTTTGTTTTAAATTAATTACATCTTCTCAAACGTGCGCATTTTTGGTAAGAATACATGTATATCTGTATATAGCAGATGACACCTGCAAGGAGATCAAAGTACTGAGAGTATTGATAGGCGGAAGCATGATTGCAAATTACTATTTGAAGCACAATCTGTCTTAAGAAGGAAGGGGGAGGGGGGTAAATATTTTGATAGATTGTAGTACTGACGCCAAAAACTAC